TTACAGGAACAAAGCGAAGGTGTTACCGAATGGGTAACGTGTACTGGACCCATCCGCGAGAGTTTGGAATTAATGGTGAGTAGAAAAGAGTTTTAACTCTACGGAGAATAAACGTGCGGTATAGAACCAAAATGGCGTTGATGTTGACTACATCTGTGAATAGAAAGAAAGGAATTGAAAACAAAATTGTATTCTTGTATTTTTTACAGATCTACAGTAAAACCGTTAACCCTGGTATTAAATACGAATACCTGCTACCGATTACTTCCGACTCCGAAGAAAATGAGGTGTCCGTGGAAACTGATGGCTTTTTGAAGTCGGCCAATGATGAAGCCATTATCACGGCCAATCGTCCGGTGCGTAAACGTCGTTATAACTGGAAAGTTGTAGGCTTCAGCGCTTGCTCAAAGTCCTGCGGAGGAGGTATGCAATCACCGATTGTAAAATGTGTGCGCGAAAATCCCTTGCGTTATTATTCACAGCGTAGATGTGCCCATTCCGAGAAGCCCATCATAAATGAAAATCTCCTGAGATGTAACACGCAACCCTGCCCCGCTTTTTGGCGTCTAGAAGATTGGGGAGAATGCCGCTGCCATCATGGAGAGGCTGGTGTGAGGGAACGAGAGATTAATTGTGTTCAAGAATTGGCATCCGGCGTTGTGGTACATGTTGATGCCGCCGCTTGTATGGAAGAGAAGCCAGTGGCTAAGAAACCCTGTGATTGTCCCAAGAATAGACATCGTAGCAATAATGCTCGTTATCGCATGCATGGTCTCAGCCCCAATGCGGCTCACTCGAATAATAAAACGAATCGTGATAAGGCTGGCATATGGCTAATGTCCGATTGGAATCAATATTGTTCGTCGGAATGTGGTCCAGGCACAGAATATCGTACCGTCTATTGTGATCGTACCAAATCGAATCCGGAAAGATGTGATATAAGAAATGCTCCGGAGACAACAAGGATATGTGATCGTGAGGAATCATGTGATACGGGAGAATGGTTTGCCGGGCCATGGTCACCCTGCAATGGTAACTGTTTCAATTTGACCCGCAGCCGACAGGTTTTGTGTATTGAAAATCAATTGATATTGGAGGATGATGAATGTAAGCCGGAATTGAAACCCACCACTGTGGAGAAATGTTCCCACGAAGAGGTGGAATATTGTGGACCCAGATGGCATTATTCGGAGTGGTCGGAGGTGAGGGGAAAATGAGGGAATTTGTTTTTCTTGGGAACTGTGGTTAATTTATGTTTATTTCTGTGTGGTTTTAGTGTACCAAAACCTGTGATGGCGGCACCCAAAGACGTTCGGTGAAATGTTTGGAATACAATGAACAGGAAAATGCCCTGAAGGAGTCCAATAAATGCCGTTATTCCATCCGGGAGCCAATATATAGGAGCTGTAATACCCACAAGTGTGAAGGTAGGTGGAGAGGATTTTATTTAGATTTTATAGAAATTTATTGGCCCTTTTTCTTTACAGATCTCCGCTATGAACAATTGCAGAATGATGATGCCATTGTCCTGCCCTGCACCGATGTCTTTACCAACTGTGCGTGGGCCGTCAAGGCCAAGCTATGCAGCTATGAGTATTATAAGCAAAAATGTTGTTATTCTTGTAATTAAGTCATAGGAGATAAAGAGAATATAGAAGAGAGGACAAAGGAGAGGAGAGAAAGAACAAAACGAGATTGCTACTCTTTTGGCAGACTTTGAAAGCTTAATTGAGAGAATCACATATTTTTGGGAGAGAGAAAGTAATTACTCTCCCAAAAATATTTGCTTCTCTTACCTCAGCTTCCACCGTATGTCAAAAAAGTAATAGAATGGGAGAGAGTACAGTGTTGCCATCCTACAAAGACTACACTGCCCCGGCACACTCAGCAAAAACACTATAGTAATTGTTCACAATCAAGAAAGAGAGAGAAATCAAGTGGAGAGTAAAAATTGTGTAATTTAATAAATTCTATTTTTTTTTTAGATATAAGTTTATTTTTATGACATTTATATTTTTTAATGATAATAATTTAATGCGACCAATCGAATAGTGAAAATGTTTTTTTTTATGAAAGAAAAAAAAAAATACAAAATCAACAAAAATACTTTAGTTAAGAAAAAAATTTTTGTATTCTTATATATGAAGACATGTAAAACTAATCAAATAATAATATACAACAAAAATAAAAAAAAGTATTTTACATAAAAAGAGGCACTACTAATAAAACGAAATTAAAGTTAAAAATAAAAATATTTTTTGAAACTAAAAACTTTAAATAAAACAAAAATAAATAAAAAATGTACGATACGTGTTTTGATTTTTAAAATTAACTTGAAATTTGGTTTAGAAAATTATACACTTAACAAAGTTAATTAAAACCAGTAAGGAAAGTAGTAAAGTCGGACTGGGCCGACTATATGGTACCCTTCACCACTTTGGGTATATTGCGCATATGTATCCTAACATTTGCATGTCAATGTTCCCTCGAAGGAACATACGCATGTCTTTCTGAAACCTATGATAAATTTAATTTCATTCGGGTTTAGAGTCGTCTGCGTACCATGGGACAAATTTATGGAAAACGTTGTATAGCAAAATTTATACACGCTATTCGGTACTGATAAAAAATTTATTTCAATCAGACACCCGTTCGAAATACATATGGAAGCTATGGCTGCATCTGCACCAATTTCAACAAAACGCAATAACGTCATTCAAGATCCAATTTCATACATTGTTTAAAATTTCGTGTTAATCGGACAAACATTAGGAGTTTGGAGCGCCATTTATGTAAAAACTGAGGAATATATATGAATATGTGGGATCTACACAGAAATCCGAACCGATCTAAAACTTACCACACATCATTCTCGACACAATTTAGTACGCTTTGACAAATTTCGTGAAAATCCAAGGATATATAGGGACTTTGGTGCACTATTTATATAAAATCATCTTCGTCCCACTTTTTATATATAGTGCACCAAAGTCCCTATATATCCTATATATAGGAGCTATATCTAAACCTGAACGGATTTTCACGAAACTTAATACACATCATTCTAGGAACAATTCAGTACGCTCTGCCAAATTTCTTGCAAACCGAAGGTTATATAATACTGTGGTCCACTATTCACATAAAATCGGACGAAAACATATATAGGAGCTATATCTAAATTTGAACCGATTTTCACGAAATTTCACACACATCGTTCTAGACTTAATTCAGTACGCTATGCCAAATTTCGTGCAAATCGAAGGATATTTAGGGACTTTGGTGCACTATTTTCCTAAAATCGGACGAAAATATATATAGGAGCTATATCTAAATCTGAACCGACTTTCACGAAATTTTACACACATAGTTTTAGACTTAATTCAGTACGCTATGCCAAATTTCGTGCAAATCGAAGGATATTTAGGGACTTTGGTGCACTATTTACCTAAAATCGGACGAAAATATATATATGGGAGCTATATCTAAATCTGAACCGATTTTCACGAAATATTACACACATCGTTCTAGACCTTATTCAGTACGCTATGCCAAATTTCGTGCAAATCGAAGGATATATAGGGACATTGGTGCACTATTTACCTAAAATCGGACGAAAATATATATGGGAGCTATATCTAAATTTGAACCGATTTTTCCGAATTTCAATAGGGTTCGTCCTTGGGACGAATAAGTGATCTGTGCCAAATTTCATCCAATTCGGATTATAAATGCGACCTGTACTTTGTTTACAATTTAACATGGACGGACAGACGGACGGACATGCATAAATCGACTTAAAAAGTGATTTTATGCATATTCTCAAAAGGAACCATATGTCTATTTCGTTTCCTTTTGCCTATTACAAACATATGCACAAAGACATAATACTCTGTACCACAAAGTGGTGAAGGGGATAAAAATCAACGCTTTGTTTGGGCCCTTGAAAAAAATAATTTAAAACCAGTGAGCGGAGCAGTATAGTCGGACGGGGCCAACCACACGATACCCTACACAACTACCACGGAACTCTAACTTTCTGCGGACATTTATTCCTAGCCTGGGCAATATTTCGTGATATTTGCACCCTCTGGCCCGTTTGGAGGTCAACTGCACCTCTTCCTTACACTTACATATATTCCGAATATTACTAATATTCAGTACAGTCCTTCTAATTACTTGTCCTGATTACCTTCACCGTGAGTTGTGTTGTGATGTTCGGCTTTCAATTGTGACCTATGGACCAAATAAAAGTTTTTGGTCTACTTTATCCCAAAATTATTATCTGATCATCAGTGAATATTATAGGCGTTGTACATGACCATAACTGGAACGTCATGGAACATTTTAAAGCGATCAGCGCTATATATAATATCTGAATACATAAGCACCTGTAAATATTTAAGTTTAACTTCCACATCCGAGTACATACGACCATATAATTAGTATCAATTTAAAGGTCAACCACTTCTCTTGGATATACTACCAACTTCTCGGGTCTATTACCTTCAGGGGCAAATATATTCGCCATAGAATACAAATTTTGTAATTTTTCACACAAAAGTCAGGGTCCATTTGACCCGCTAAATATTGATCGATCTTTATCAAAACAGGCATGCTTATTCTTTGGACCAATCTTCTTCTCCATGTAAAAATTCGCAATGTTTTCATTGCAAATCCGATCATGTAGTTCATCTCGAAAGAGAAATTAATAAAAAAAAAACATTTACATGAATGATCCTTCGCCCTAAAAAGGCATAAAAACAAAACTCAAAAATTCAGCTTGAGCCCGGCTGGGATTTGAACCCTGGTTCCCATGGCATCTGTTGATGTCCGCCGCCTTAACGTTCAAAGCCACGGCGGCGTTACAACATAGTAGTGTAGGGTATACAAAATTAAAAAAAAAATAAGAATTTCAGAATTTATGTGAATAATCAAAAATTGTTTTATTAATATGAAAAATAGTGCAAAAAGTATTCAATACTTAATTCAGGGAAAAATATTTATATTTTATAGCCAAACAAATGGAACAGTAAACGCATTGTGAAAAAATAGAAAATCTCAATGGCGCCCAATACACTAAAGCCCAAGAAAAATCCGGCCGTACCACCAATGTAAACTGAAACAAAAAATGAAATACAAATTAAAAAAAAATTCCTAAGTAGACTTTTTTAAAAAAATTTACCCATTAAATCGGTAAATGTCAAATAAATCTCTCGCTTATAGCGCACAGTGGGCCATTCCTTTTCCGTCATTGTTGCACCATAACTACCATAGAGTTGTTTTGAGCGGGTATATAACTACAAGGACGGATTATGTATTATATCATCATTCGAAAATAGTGGATATTTCCTACTTACCGAAACCTTAAGACTCAATACCGATCCCTTGCAGTTCTGTTCACAATAGCACGGGGCCATGTCCAGTTTATTGCTATTGGGTCTCTCCCGATATAATTTCAGAAAATAAGCTTCATGCTGCGGCATACATTCTCTGAGGGTTTTAAAATCACAAACCGGTTTGGGTATTAGAACTGAAAATAAAAAGGACCGACTTTTTAATAAAAACAATTTTTTCAAGTGTTTATAAAAGAGTGGAATTTTTAAAAAAAATGTACAGAGGTCTACATAAGGCGTGGATTTCTTTAAATATTTTTTTCAAGCACCTTCAAAAGGCGTGGATTTTTTAACTATTTTTTTCAAGCACCTTCAAAAGGCGTGGATTTTTAAACTAATTTTTTCAAGCACCTTCAAAAGGCGTGGATTTTTAAACTAATTTTTTCAAGCGAGGGTCTATATAAAGCGTGAATTTTTTAAATAAATAAAGGCTTGGATTTTTAAGTCATTTTTTCAAGGGTCTATATAAGGCTTGGATTTTTTAAAATAATTTTTTAAGAGCGTAAATAACATTTTAAGGGTCACTTACGTCGATTGGGATAGAAGTGCGGTATACATTTACACATTTTGTAGACCAAATTTAAACGACACTCCTGCATGCAAATATTTTTCGTATAAATCGGAAAATGGGTTAGATTAGACTCGTGGCTGAAACGGCAGTTCCTTTGGCGGACACTGGCTCCCCTATAAAAAATTTAATAAAATAATTAGTATTTGAAGGTCCTGTAATGGTATTAGGGACTTTACGTTTCAAAATTATGATCCGTGGTGATTTCCGGTGAGAAGGGTTCGTAGTAGAGATTTTCAGTGGTATAACCATAATTATTGTCCACCTTCATGACCTCATAGGAGCTATGGGCATAGACCTGTAAGAAACGAAATCATATATTTAAATTTCTTCATGTTTCCCAAGCCTTCCTCCTCCCCCTCTTAAGATACTCACATCAATTGGTGACTGGAAACCAATAAAATTAAAATCAATATATTTATCCGGATATGAACCCATTTGTATCTTCCGGACATTATGTTTAATTTCATATTCATTTGGTTCGGGCATCACCCCGAATAGCAAATACTTCGACGAATAGCGATCATCAATATTGTTGTTCGTTAAATAACAGAGGCCATATTCGGTAAGCACTTGTCGGGAGTGTATATATTCATCATTGTCGATGCAACGTATTCTCAGCTTATCGACAGGATTTAGGGTATGGTCCACCGTCAGATTATATATTAATTCCATATATTTATCCGGTTTTAACTGCAGTTTATCAAGGGTGCGATCCAAGCTACTATGATTGGGAATATCTTGAAAATTCATATAAGTCGAATTGGCCAGATGTTCCAGCAGATCCCAGAGGTCGTCTTGATTTTTGCCGGTAATGTAATGGGATCTGGAAATAATGGAAAAGTGTGGAAGTTTGAAAAATAACTCATAAAAAATCCATGCCTCTGTAGGACCCTTGAATAAATAATTCATAAAAAATCCACGCCTCTGAAGGACCCTTGAATAAATAATTCATAAAAAATCCACGCCTCTGTAGGACCCTTCAATAAATAATTCATAAAAATCCACGCCTCTGAAGTACCCTTGAATAATTAATTCATAAAAAATCAACGCCTCTGTAGGACCCTTCAATAAATAATTCATAAAAAATCCACGCCATTGAAGGACCCTTAAAAAATTAATTTTAAAAAAATCACGCCTCTGAAGGACCCTTGAATAAATAATTTATAAAAAAATCCACGCCTCTGTAGGACCCTTCAATAAATAATTCATAAAAAATCCACGCCATTGAAGGACCCTTAAAAAATTAATTTTAAAAAAATCACGCCTCTGAAGGACCCTTGAATAAATAATTTATAAAAAAATCCACGCCTCTGTAGGACCCTTAAAATATGAAATTTAAAAAATCCACGCCTCTGTAGGACCCTTAAAATATGAAATTTAAAAAATCCACGCCTCTGTAGGACCCTTAAAATATTAAATTTAAAAAATCCACGCCTCTGTAGGACCCTTAAAATATTAAAATATTAAAAAATCCACGCCTCTGTAGGACCCTTAAAATATTAAATTTAAAAAATCCACGCCTCTGTAGGACCCTTAAAATATTAAATTTAAAAAATCCACGCCTCTGTAGGACCCTTAAAATTTAAAAAATCCACGCCTCTGTAGGACCCTTAAAATATGAAATTTAAAAAATCCACGCCTCTGTAGGACCCTTAAAATATGAAATTTAAAAAATCCACGCCTCTGTAGGACCCTTAAAATATGAAATTTAAAAAATCCACGCCTCTGTAGGACCCTTAAAATATGAAATTTAAAAAATCCACGCCTCTGTAGGACCCTTAAAATATGAAATTTAAAAAATCCACGCCTCTGTAGGACCCTTAAAATATGAAATTTAAAAAATCCACGCCTCTGTAGGACCCTTAAAATATTAAATTTAAAAAATCCACGCCTCTGTAGGACCCTTAAAATATTAAAATATTAAAAAATCCACGCCTCTGTAGGACCCTTAAAATATTAAATTTAAAAAATCCACGCCTCTGTAGGACCCTTAAAATATTAAATTTAAAAAATCCACGCCCAACAGCCTAGGACCCTTAAAATTTAAAAAATCCACGCCTCCTAAAAACATAAAAATATAAAATTTAAAAAATCCACGCCTCTGTAGGACCCTTAAAATATGAAATTTAAAAAATCCACGCCTTTGTAGGACCCTTAAAATATAAAATTTAAAGAATCCACGCCTCTGTAGGACCCATAAAATATAAAATTTAAAAAATCCACGCCTCTGTAGGACCCTTGAATAAAAAATTCGAAAAAAATCCACGCCTCTGTAGGACCCTTAAAATATGAAATTTAAAAAATCCACGCCTCTGTAGGACCCTTAAAATATGAAATTTAAAAAATCCACGCCTCTGTAGGACCCTTAAAATATGAAATTTAAAAAATCCACGCCTTTGTAGGACCCTTAAAATATAAAATTTAAAGAATCCACGCCTCTGTAGGACCCATAAAATATAAAATTTAAAAAATCCACGCCTCTGTAGGACCCTTGAATAAAAAATTCGAAAAAAATCCACGCCTCTGTAGGACCCTTAACATATTAAATTTAAAAAATCCACGCCTCTGTAGGACCCTTAAAATATAAAATTGAAAAAATCCACGCCTCTGTAGGACCCTTAAAATATAAAATTGAAAAAATCCACGCCTCTGTAGGACCCTTAAAATATAAAATTGAAAAAATCCACGCCTCTGTAGGACCCTTAAAATATTAAATTTAAAAAATCCACGCCTCTGTAGGACCCTTAAAATATTAAAATATTAAAAAATCCACGCCTCTGTAGGACCCTTAAAATATTAAAATATTAAAAAATCCACGCCTCTGTAGGACCCTTAAAATATTAAATTTAAAAAATCCACGCCTCTGTAGGACCCTTAAAATATTAAATTTAAAAAATCCACGCCTCTGTAAGACCCTGAAAAATTAATTAAAAAAATCCTCGCCTATGTTGGACCCTTGAAAGTTTGATTTCAAATAATCCACGCCAAGACCCTTGAATAAAATGCTTTCCATAATCCCCTCATACTCACTGACAATATTCATTGAAAAGCTCCCGATCCAAACGCTCCATGGGACATATAGTCAAGCTCGGCAACGAAGTATTCCAACTGAAATAGTCTCGCTCAATACCCATATAGGCATTTTTCGTTAGGAAACGATCAATCGATTGCATTGCAATATAAATTGAGGCATAATGCGATACAGCTATGAGGATAAGCCAAAATATTCTTTCCACCCAGATGAGACCCTCCTTCACCAAATACACATAGCAGTGATTACAGCAAGTAGCCAAATATAATTTGAAATATTCAAAACCCTCAACTGTGAGGAACCACAATGTCACTTTTCGGCGAGGTTTTTGCGGTGGCTGGGCGGGCCATGCTTCGGAGGATTTTCCTATTCCAGGGGGAACTTGGGGAGCACCACTCATTTTCCCGAGGTTTGCGATTGAGACCTAATGGCTTAGACGGTAAAATAGCTACTGTCCTAGGAGAACGATGTTTGCTGTATAACAAACAAGCTTGTGCATGTCTGAATGGTTTTAATTAATCAGACATGGCTATTACACTTGAAGTGCATTATGCCTTCTTTGTAATCAAATAAAAAATTTGACATGCAATTTTATGCGTTTCCACCATATCAGGGACGGGAGTTGGGAGGATTAAAAGAAAATTATCATGGCATGGATTTTTTAAACCCAAACAAGGGTTTTTTTAAATAATTTTTTTCAAGGGTCTATTTAAGGCGTGGATTTTTTAAATAATTTTTTCAAGGGTCTATTTAGGGGGAGGATTTTTTAA